ACAGAAATTGTAATGCTATCTCAACACCATAACTAACAGTCCCAAAGTAACTGGTGTGAATTTGTGATCTATAAGTCATGCAGTATAAGGTCAATGCAAAATATAATGGCATTGTCAACATCAAACAAGTAGAGAACAATGTGTGAAACAACATGAACTCAATCAATCTCAAGATAACATCAACATCATATTAAATCAAGGGTATTTCTTTTTATTCTTTTCCTAAAGGTTGACATATAACCTTAGTCACTGGAATTCGTAATGGAAGGTTGAAAGAAACAACTGCAGCAGCAGCAGGGAGGTCACCGGACAGCTTCAAGAGATAATCTAAAAATTAGGGCATAATTGAGAGAGCACATAAGCCTCCCCTAAATACTACCAGCAATAATCCAAGAATTAACTAATTGAATTGACACAGGTAGAGCAGTTGACTTCAGTTAGGTGAAAAAAGTTTTATTTACTGTTCACTTTTGAAATTTTATTGCATTATCCAATGGTTAGACTAATTTCTCTTATATTTTAAACAAAAAAGGTTTTTACCTCCCCGTCATAATCTCTTGTCCTATACATCTTATTAATTACCTCTTTGGGAGATAGGAAATGCAGTAATTGGAAAGGGAACAAACAATAAGATAAGCTACAAACCTTGGTAGTCCTCAGCTGTTATACTGTCAGCCCATAAACCTGCACAATTATCTGATGCGTAAGTTGCAAAATAAATAGAAACGCTAGAGTGTAAGAGCATACATTGTGAAGAATAACCCAACTTTTAAACCAGGAGCCATAAAGTAAAGGAAAACAAAGTTCGAAGTAAGCATAAATATTAAGGTGCGCCCGCTAAATTGCTAATACTTTGACACGATTTCTTCGGGCGATCGCATCAGAAGAGTGCGACGGAGGAGGGAAAGGAACCGGAAAAGGAAAAAAGGAATTCGCCGGGAAACAAAATTTCGATTTTTGCTTAGCTAGTCAACCGAGGAAACCATTCGCGACGTTTGGTGGATCAATCAGGAATCAACGAATCTGAAATCCAAGGATGGATTGGAATACCGTGGGAGATGCTGGAGTAGGAGGTGGATCTGCAGTATCCGCAAGAGGACCTCCTCCTGCCATGATCGGTGACCTTACTCTCACCGATCGCCCCTCCTCCCTTCACCCTTTCCGTTCCTCCTCCCCGGCCGCTGCGGCTACTGCTGGCCCCATCCCCCATTCCTCCCCGGCCTCCCTCCTCTTCGTCCGTCAAGGGACAAGACCTCTGCGCTTCGCGTCGGGGCTCAATCAACCGAAAGGTAGTACGAGGAACCGGGCGGCGACGGCGAGGAGAACTGGGGGCGAGATCGTCGCTCGAGATTGCAAGAGGCTTCGCAAACCTACTCTCGTGGGTAATTGGACCGAGGGAAGGTGACTTTTTAAGTTGCCCTCGACGAAGCAGAATTAAATACGACGTCGTTGGGAATCACGGAGGTGGAGTGATCATGATATGATGAACGGGTGATATCGAAAGATGCTTCTTTCCGGTTTTGCAATTTGAGGCCACTCTTTCTTTTATTTTCTTGCGGTTTTAGATATTTTTTAATCACTAAAAGAGGCTCTAATAATAATAATAATAATAATAATAATAATTACGACTTATCAGACAAAAACACTTAAACTCTAAGCTTTATCCAAAGAATGATTCATTTTTGTTTGAGCTTTTTGTGGATCGATATTGAATAAGAAGGATTTTAATATTTGGAGAATTGTGTGAAGAATTTTAGTATATAATATTTTTTCCAAAGCAAGAAACTATGTTTTGTTTAAGAAGACGAATATTTTTGTTTGGTATATAATATTTTTGTTTAAGAATATCTCCAAAAACATCCTTCCTGTTCATCATTCTTACTCTATTTCCTTCCCTAAACACATGGTTAATAGAGTGCGAGACAATAATTTTAATATAAGAAAGAGATATTCATGTCATAGCACAAATACGCTATTTAAGAACTTCAAAAGAATATATGTAAAAAGTTTTTTCTAAAGCATATTCTATTACTTTGAATCAGAAGACAAGATTGAACAAATTAGATTTAGTGAACTATGATAGAGTTATGTACTGTTAACTCAAGAACAAAGCTGTTTTATTCCTGAATTCTTCGTCAGTCATCAGATAAGACACAAGAGAAGACAAGATTGAGATGGCAGATGTTTCTTAAATCTTCACGACGCTGGATTGTAATTGATGCATACACAAAGTAGCATCGAATATCTAGCTAAACAAGCAAATTACATGCAGGTAAAATGTTCGAGCGATTCATGTACAAGAGGGATTCACATCACAGAATGCCAGTGTTGAACTCCGATATGCCTCTCTTGTGGTTATTCTTCGTCTTCATCTTCACTTATCCAACCGTAACATGGAAGCCTTCGTGGTCTTAGACTAATAAACTGATTTGACAGATTTTGATGACAACCTGAGCTCGATGCAGACAGTGGCTCGACCTCTCTTGCAGTCAAATTTGGCTGGCCGCCACCATTCACCTTGTGCTCCAGGCCCTGGTTCGGGTCTGTACTTGAAATGTCCTTCCAATTTACAGGTTCTTCTAGGGTGCAGCAAGCAAAGGGAACATGGTCAAGTGTGAAAAATACTAGAACATTAAGATCTAAAACAAAACTAACCACACATCTAGTGAAGAATTAGCAAGGTCTGCCTCACCAGCCTGAGCAACGTTGCTGGAAACTCTCGAGGCCGTAGCTTCTTCCCTGGTTCTTCCCTCCTGAAGCAGGCATTATGGATCTTTGCAGTGAAGAATACATTTAAAATGAAATAGGATATTGAATCAGAAGAATTCTGAATATTATGGCATGTTAAATTAGAATATGTTGGAACAAACAGGAAATTGCATACTGGTGTAACCACTACATGTCTTCGTTAACCATAACATTAATAAACCACGAGGGAAGGTATTCGCTAAAGAAAAAAGAAAAGGCAAGAGCAGTTTGAACTTTGTACACAACCAATCTAGCATAATGTATTACTTTGAAGACAAACTCAAAGAAAAAGTAGATCGGAATACTGTTTAGCTAACCTTGATCAGAACCAACCAGAACATTAAGCCACCTTTACAGCCATTGACATACAATGGCCCCATCCATGCTCTCACAGGACCATAATTTCACAAACAAGTAAGATTTTAGTGGCTTGAGATTTTTACATCAAATATTTATGTTTTACAAGTTAAAGGCAATATCCATTGCATGAGTCCAATTACAGAAAAATAAATATTTTGTTTTAAAAGTTTGAAAAGAAAATTCTGTTGAACCTACCTTCAACTCTGTAATCTGGATGAGGGTTTTTTGCTCATAGCAATCAGAATTTTATGAGGATCTAGATCAAGCTATCTGCTAACACGCACACACATTCATGTATGTGATTGAAGTGAACCTAGTAAGACCATGAAGCTTTTTAAGTCATATAAATTCATTAGAGGGGCAAAAGTTCCAAAAAACAAAGTGAAACTGCTTCATTCAACTTATGGTGGACATGTCTAATCTCATTCTAACTATTTAAACGCTGCTTAACATTCAAAAGAAACTTTACAATGCTTTTCTTAAGAGTAAGCAAACTGGTCATAAAGACTTCTTTGTCCAAAAGAGAACCAAATGTTGTCCAAGAACAATTAATGCTTTACATGTGAAGGTGGCATCAAAACCACAATAGAGACCAAAAAGATGGAAGGGGAAGATGGGTGGAAACACTTTAGTATGAGAACATGTTAAAGAACCAAGACATGATATTAAGCAACTTAATTAAGGATCCTACAATTATAGTTACAATATTTGCTTTGATCTACCAGGATTCCAGGATTCCAAATTAGAAGTATTCACTTTGGAATTTTGTGCAGCAGTTTAATCTATAAATGCAAATGATCACTTTATTTTTCATAAAATTGTGCATGTCCATTATATTTACCACTCAGTCACTATATTATGTTATTGCCTGGAAAAATAAGGTTGCATATAGATAGTGCACCAACTAGCACGACACAGAGCCAAACCCGAGACAAAAGAGAGATGCACAAAGATACCAGTTGTCCAAAGAAGTACCTCTCTTGCCTCTTGTTTTTGCTCTTCTAGGATGGTCTCGATAACCAGACTGTAACTACCTTCTTCAATAAGGTACCACGCAGCATTGTCATCATAAACCTACTAGTTTCCAAGCAGCTTCTAAGACACTTCAAAAGACAAAAAGAAAATGAGAATGAAAAGAAGAAAAGTGGAGGGGATCTTACTTTGAGAAGTTTATTGATCGTCGAGCAGATAGTTTCTTTAGAGAAACCATAAGGAAGCAATGCATCAAGGGCTGCGTCTATCCGCTTCAGCCCTACCTAAATCATTTAGATAAGAAGGTAATCTGGAGGAAAAGGAAAACCATATCTGGCAGTTGAACTGGTAGAAGGTGTGTGGTGTACCTTCTTCTGCCTTCTTGGAGCCATGTGCAACAACAGTTCTCAAGCTCCCACGGCTGCCTTCTTCACCTCCTCTTCTCTTTCTAGTGGAATGGAACACAACCTGCCTCCTTCCCTCAAAACATTGATATGAAGGTCCTCTGGCATAGCCACGAAGAACTAAGATTAGGGATTCAGGTCATCTCAAGTTTGACAGAGCAATCCACCCAGTATCCAAAAGTAGAGTCACACCAAATACACAACAGCGTCTGATAGTTATCAATCATCTAGTTTTAGTAAACATGAGAAATAACAACAATTGTTATAAACAGAATGACCAATGATAAAGATCACAGGTACATAAAATAGAAAATGTACACCAGAACCTGGAATGAGCTATAGTGGGAAACGACAAATTATTATTATGGCAAAGTTATTGTTATGTGTTGATAGATTGCAGTATACCAAGTGCTCCAAGGACAGGAATTAGTAGGAAGCATAGAAACACATTATGCTGTTACTTCCACCACAATAAAACTTCCAATCCTATGCATTTATTGCACAAACTACAGGGCACACCGCTCTGCATCTCATAACGCACTAGAGATCAGTTCAACAATATGATAAGTTGCAGGAGAAACAACAGTTGCATAATCTAGAGATTCTAGACACAGAGGTACCAAATTCAAAGAACAACACGGACAAACAATCTTCAAGATTCAATACATTAGGGACGAGATATATACGTATGATTCAATCAACTTGATACGAGTAGCGATTTGAAATGCTATAAGATTCTCGAAGTAGCTATGTTCTACTGTCTCCTGCAAAAATCTCCAAACGGGTTACAGTGAGACATTCTTAACAAAGGATGAACTTTCAGACAAGATTCATCAAAAGAGTCCTTCAAGTCTCAAGCGAACTAATTCATTGCAAAAAGAGAGAAACCTAGAGAAATAAGGAGGATAGAAACGAAGGGATAGGGCTAGGGGGAGGGGGTCCCGCGAAAGAAGAGGACGGCGGTGAGAGAGTGGTGATCCGGTGGCTGTTCTTACTCCGGCGAGTTACCCCAACCGGACGGCGAATATATTTCACCAAAGTTGCTACTGCACACACGACGTACTATACAGAACGGGCGAAGTGATCGACCGTCTCAAGCAGAATGAGAAGTCCGATGAGATCGGAAACGAAAAAGTTGGAAGACTTGTGGTACCTGAGAAAGCAGCGTCGTGTTGGCAGCAGAAAGACCGGCTAGGCGGAGGACGAGTGGAGGGGGCCAGCAAAACCCATAAGAGATCGCTAGGGTTTTAAAGGAGTGGTTTCTTACTTTGGAGAGGGAGCGGCGTTTGGGGATTGGGATGGGGCGGAGGAATGGCCAATGCGCGGTCGATCGGGTAAACACGAAAGAGCGAGCATGGAGGCCGACGGAGATAACAAAATAGAGAAGACAAAAAAAATGGGAAAATAAATAATAAAAGGATAAATTCTCTAAAAAAAAATGGTGGGAAGACAAATAAATTCTCAGTATTTTTTATTTTCTAAAATATGATATTACTCTTTTATTCTATTGTCATGGTTTTCGCTCAATCATATTCACTCAACTACTGTATGGGGGTCATTGGATCCGGGATGAACCTTGTACTTTTTAACGCTGTAGTTGAGGTTGTTATCATCTTCACTCTCTTGATTGTTATCATGCCCTCTTGATTGTTATCATGCCCCTACAAGATACGTAATTGATGTCTGGCAACTTATTCTAGCACAAAGTGAAGACATCATTTCCGCCATAGTCGTTATGGATGGACAAGTTTTGTAAATCAGAGGTGATGTGATAGCAGAGTCAACAATCCAATTTTAATGACCAGTAGTAACTTTGTCACATAGTTAGACTCTTTATTGATTTATGTGATCAGGACGCTAAGGTTGAGGATAATTGAAATAATCGTCTTGGTGGTTGTAATTGAAATGCTGAGAAAGGGAGGTTTGTTTGGAGCCCACAAGTATAGACATGCTGGCCAAAGCTTTGTTGATAGATTTGTTGTACCGGTTGCTCTTCTTAGATTTTTAACTGACTTAAACTATGATAGATGATCCTGACAACTTGTCATCACGCTTGAAACATATCTCATAATCAGTCAACTTCTCATAGAGTTCTTCAAATGACACTAGTGAATCACGTGCACTATTGCTGCTGATAATTCCTTGTACTCATCTCTTATGTCGTTGAAGATCTGGACCTGTTATGTAGATAATCAGCAACGGTACTTTCCTCTTGTTTTATCATCATGAGATTGAACAAGAGACTAAACATGCGAATGCGGGAACGATTGGCTATGGTGGTTTACAACTTGCACCAAGCTTTAGCAGCAATATCACATGAAGAAATGAGTAGGGCGAGGAATCCAATGACCGAGACTTGAATAGCTTGAAGGATGAGACGATCCTGACGTAACCATAATGAGTAGCTTGAAAGATAAGACGATCCTAGTGTAACCATATATTGTGGTCCGGATTTGATATTAGACTGGATGCGCATGGAATGTTAAGTATCGCCGGTGAACAACGAAGAAAGCCATCGACATAGCCTAGAAGATCATAGCCAAATAGCAGATTAGAGAATTGAGCACACTAGGATGTGTAGTTGCCACATTTGGATAATTTGAAGGGGATGAGGATTGCTGCATTTATGGAGATAAGACCTGTATGTGGAAAAGTACTGTGGAATGCCGCCGACGTAGGGAGGAGAAGAGGGCGCGACATGGTAGCCCTTGTTCAGCTTCGAAGGAGGCCGACGCAATGATCCTGGAGGATGTCCGTGAAAAATGCTACAATGATAAGAGCTCGACGGAGGAAGATGTCGTTGTTGTTGCTGCCGCCTTTCGCCAAGGAAAAACATTGCACCTGATGGCGACACTGGGTGCGGTCAGTGGCCTTTACGGCAAAAGCTCTAATACCATAATAACAATGAAATAAAAAGAAAAAGATTATATTGATTGAAACAATACACAATACTCCATATTTATAAAGGAAGAATTTTGAGGACGATTTTCGATTTACAATATCTCATCATATAGTTAGGAAGATCTTAGGTTGTTGAGGTTATTATCACGAAAAATCTTGACTATTATCAATTGGTAGCCAAACGCTCGCGATAGAGATTTAAATCATCTCATCTCCGATAAGTATCTTACCTTCCACCCCCTCACCTCTCTCATCTCCCACCCATTCAAGCCCCTGGACCTCCTCTATAATGACATCCCCCTCTTCATAGAGATGCACAATAACAAACTTGGTACTTTTGAGGCCACAAACATTCTCATCGAAAGTAGATAATTGTGCAATGGGATCGATTGAGGTGAGCTAGAGCAATGGTTAAGAGAGGTAGCAATATTGTCACATGCATCGTATGGCAAATGTGCCATAAGTTTCATATCACAACGAAACCTCTCTCTCGCCAACTTGTTGCCTTCGCCTCATCATCCATGCCTTCATATGGGGGGAGGGTCTCGAGGTCTCATAGGTTATAGTCATGAGAGATTGCAAAGCGGAGTAAAGGTCTATAAAGTTCGATGAGACGGAGGGGTAATACCATTTTTTAAAAAAATAAAAAATACATCATGCAAATAAAACTAAAAAAATTGCTCTACAAGAAAAAATAATAAAAACTTAGAGTTTTTTTTTCAAATTTGCCCATAATAAAAATGGTTCACATCATTTTTGTGATGTTATTTTTGTTTGGTCGAGATGACTCTCAAAGGTTATGGTTGTATATTTGACCAACTTGATCACATGTCTGAATATATATTCAAGTATAGAAAAAGACGTGATTTGCATATGTGAGATATTACGCTCTCTATGAAATAGCAAATCTAAAATCAAATTAAATTAAGTTGACAAAGTCAAGCATATGCAATGAACGAATGAGACACTAAAGATGACATCTGTCATTATACTATACTATTCAGATATAAAACTACATGTTTGTAATTAAGAACCAAGATCTTAAAGTTAATTAGTGATCTAACTTGTACATCCGATACATGTAATAAATGTCGATTAATAGATTTATACTGATTGCAACCTCTAATTAATATTCTAAAATATATTTTAC